CAGGTATCCTTTACCTTACTAGAGGAGTGTAAGGTGATCTTAGGTGGAGAAGGCCTATACATTTACTCATATGATTTCTGTTCCACATGGATCCTCCCTTGAATTGATTTTAATGCCTCTTTGAAGTAATGATTCACTTTTTAAACCTTCCATCTGATTTGTACTCACCAAAGGAGAAATCCCATTGGTAGAACTCAGCTGCAAAGAAAGGCAGCAGCAGTAGTGGAATGGGTCTGGAGGAGGTCCCCCTCCTCTGGAGAAGCTCTTAATATTTGTTCAGCATAGGGTACCATGAAACAAATAGTTACGTGGACGCAGTGAACTCAGTTACACATGCAAGTTGTGTGGGAGTGGGGCTGCTATGCACACTGTACCACTCTGTTTGCTGCTGCTGCAGCCATGGCTGCTATTATGCCCCTAAGTCTAGACAGCCCAAGATGGATTTCACCTCCATAAACTCTGGCCCCTGCATTACATAGTGGGTTTTTTTTCTGGCCAAACTCAAATTTGAGGGTCAGTAAAACTTGGATGAAATCTACACTCAAAACTGCCATGCAGTTCTTTCTACTGGTAAGATAATACCACCTCTCAAAGGAAAGAGAAGACTTGTGTTGTCACACATTACTCAGCAGCCAGTGGAGGAAGAAATACCCTGCCAGCACAGCTGCTAGGTTGAGCCATCTAGAGCCAACAGAAACCCTTCCATGAAATCACGGTCTGAAGGCTTCCTTGTAGTGGCTGTGGTTTGCTGTCAGAACACCTGGTGACAGAACTAGCCTAGCATTGACAAGACCTAATCCCTTGCACTTTTGGTACAAAAGCTTTGTTTTTATTGTGGATGAAGTAAATATCACTGTTAAGCCCACACCTCCAAATGTTGTCATCAGGAAGACAGCAGCAAAGTACATTGTGTGCCTCTCCCAAGGCATGAAAAAATATGTGTTATGTTGAATATTGCTTAATTTTTTGTCTGGTTCTATAATGTAGCATGAGGTTGAGGGAACTCTTTCAACTCCTGAGCTAGAATAGGTTAAATCTAGTGATTAGGATTGGGTTTTGAGGCCAAATAAAAGCTGGGATTTGGTTTTAGATTCAAGTGTGCTAAAATCTTGCAAACTGATATCACTAGATTTTGGTCTAAATGGTGGAACATCAGTGGCAGATAGCAGAAATCGTGATAGATCCAATCTTGAATAACAGTTACCTCAACAGGTTAGCTGTTTAAGTGTAATTATCTCCATTTTTAGATAAAATCACAAGCAAAACAAACACCTCTCCTCCCCAAAAGCCTGTTACCCTGAGTTTCTAGTTGTGCCTGAAAAAAATCCTAAAAGATCCATACTAAAATTAAGACCACAGAGCAGCAATTCAAATCTAGGAATTACAAGGCAGTATTATTTCTTTGTTTTTAAAAAGAGCAACATTAGAAGTTTCAGGTAGTGGTGCTTTGGAATTTGATTTAGTTCTAGAAATTATGAATTGTATATCATCTTGACCAGTCTTATAAATCCTTGCTAGAGGGGAAAAAAAGACGGTAATCTTAGGAAAGTGATTTAAGAAAAAAAATCCCTAAAGTCAAACCTATCATGAAAGGCTGTTATCTCTCTGAATTTATTATTTTTAAAGGAAGAGGCTCTTCCTAAGAACAAACTGAAGTGGGAAAGGTGATATTGGCAGTCGGTAGGAAAGTGACGCTATGAAAGTTCCTGTCAATCCCAGCTTTCCGTAAATAAAGTTTAACAAGATGAAACCATGGTCATGTTACAGAAGGACGTGGGTCTTAAGCTTTTACTCTGTTTCAGCTGTAAAACATTTTATAGTGTTGTAAATTATATTATACTCTGGACTTTGGTTTAGTAACTTAGAAACAAAGTGGAGAAGCAGGAGACATTCAATAGCCATGTATGTTTTCTGTAATCATAAATCACACCATTGTTAATATTGGTGTAGGAACATTGTAGTGTTTAGAATGGCACTGTATTCAAATACTGTTATATTTAATGTGCCTTTTGTTTAAGGTTTTCAACATAATGTAAATTAAAATGAAAACCATATCTTCTCTTGTGAGGCTTTTATCTAAAATGATGGTATCGTTGCTGTATTGAATTCAAAATAATGTGCGAACCTATTGAACTTCCTGGGTGAAATCATGTCTCCATTTAAGTCAATAACTTGAAATTCCTTTGACTTCAAAAAAGTTATGCTAGTTTACACCATCTGGGAGTCTAGCTCTTGAGTTTCAATTTTAAAAAAAGCCTTTCAGTTCATTCAGAATTTCATGAAGTAAACTATATAGTTAGTAAATCCTATAGCCCTGTTATTCATTAAAACAAATAAATGACCCATTATAAAGCCTTGAGGGGTACACGGAAAGAAAGGCATAATTAACTGAAATAAGAACTGTTGTTACTTGAAAGAAGCAAGCGCATTTGCAAACCTCGAGACAGAATGCTGGAGTGTAAATTAAGAGTCACCATCTTTCATTGTCCTTTGACATTTTGGTGGGATTGTGCTATTAGTAAACATTTACAGTACACCAGTGTTTTGAAAAAAAAGTATTTTACAGGTTTGCTATAGTAATATGCTTGAGAAGTTGTAAATCTGGTCAAGAAACTTTAACATGCATATGTTTTGGGGGGGAGGGAAGGGATAGAGAGGTGCTGAAGGGCAGTAAAAGATTATTTTAGGAAGTCTGTGTAGCCCATATTAGGGTGAGCCACTAGGACTGTAAATACATGTTTTGTTGAAGGTACTTAAAGACTTGAGCTGTGAATATTCTACAAACAATCCCCTTGCAAATATCCACTGAGATTCTACAATGAATTTGCTTTAGTCAGGCTCAGGCCTGTCTTGAGCTTCTTTGCTATAAACGTCTACATCAGGGCTGTCAAACATTCAGCCTGCAGGCTGGATCTGTCCCACTGAACCATTGC